TCTCACTGTCTCTGAATGATAAATCCTGCAGGACAGCTCATTCCATTCAAACCCTTCACACTCCTGCTTTGAGGAGCTGGGTGGTCTCTTCCGCCGACGCGGGGGCTGCCTGCCCTTCCTTCCACTTAGCATTCCCCCAGGAGTTGAGGACTTCCCGGGACCCAGGCATTCGCCTCCACAACAATATCCAAATACCAAGCAAAGCCCTCCCAGCCCCCTTCCAGAGCCAGAACGTAAAATAAAGCCGCGTGGGCCTTGCACCCCTGGACGGCATCCTTTGTCTGGGTTGGAAACAGCCTGAAAGATGAAAGGGGCTTCCACTCTGACCTCTTCACCCCTAGTTATCTTGTGCCAACTCCCTTTAGACTCTGCGAGGCCGACAGCAGCATTTTCCCATGGTCGCCGGGGTTAACAACGTCTCAGCCGCCAGCCGAGAGCGGCATGTGAGGAATGTACCTGCCTAAGGGGCGATTATTTTCATCAAGGACAGGCTGAAACGGATAATGAGGTCAAAAACAAACGCCATCTCTTTCTCAAAGGACTCTCTAAAGAGAGGCTATTAGATATAGTTCATTAGTTGGGGGGTGGGGGGGTGGAGGAAGAGAACTACTTTTTAAGACTGCTGCTGGAAGAGAGATGGAGGCATTTTGCCAAGTTTAGATTCTTCTCCAAGTCGGTAGGGGGCTAAGTTTAGACTCAGATGCAAGCTTGTATGTGAGTTTCTTTCAGGTGCAGGCAATAAGTGCACTCAAAGAAAAGATTTGCAAAAGCGTGTATTGTAGCCATGCAAATGGGGTCCACGGTAAAATTTTTAAAAAAGAAAGAAAACAACAAATATCTAAGCATCAAATTTGGAAAATTGATTTTATTTTAAAAATGTTTCAGAATCAGAATTTATTTTTAAAGTTGTTTCTCATGTGTTAGCATCTTTATAAATTAATGTCCCTTTTCGGTTCATAATCACCATCATAATTCAGGAGCTAATTTCCCATCCATCACCCTCAGATTTTACTATCCCTTCTCCAATGGAATCTCCACTGCTAAACCGTTTCCCTTCCAATTTATCAGGCATCCAATACAGATTTGTCTTCTTCAACTAAGTGTATCCAAACTCCACTCAAAAACTTTCACTGCTGACCAAGTTGGGCTGTGAAGAGGTGTATGCTAGCTCAGTGCCTGGGCACAGCAGGCACCCTCTCCCTCCCCTTTTTCTTCACATCACCGCAAGATGAAATTCCAACTACCTAAATGGCATTTAAAGCTCTCCAAAATCTGAACCTACTTCACATCCATCTGTAGCCCCCCCACCACATACACATTTAAAAGACCACTTTCCCATAATAACCACAGCTTTGCTAACATGGTCTCAAGGCATATGCCTAGAGCAGTAGAAAGGGCACAATAGACTCTTATGGGTATGTTTTGGTTCTTCTTTGAGTTTCAGTTTCTCATGCAGAAAAGTAACAAATGGAACTTCAGGCTTGATTTGGTTTACGCAGAAATGACTTGCTGGAACACTGTGGAGATAGGTCAAGGCCAAATGGGTGACCTCCCAGTGCAACAGAGGAGGACTGAACAGGCCTTCCCAGGACAGGCCTTCCCCCCTCCTCTGCTTTCAGTTCGGTCACTCTGTCCTGTCCCATTCTTTGCGACCCCATGGACTGCAGCAAGTCAGGCTTCCCTGTCCATCACCAACTCCCGAAGCTTGCTCAGACTCATGTCCATTGAGTTGGTGATGCCATCCAACCATCTCATCCTCTGCCGTCCCCTTCTCCTCCTGTCTTCAATCTCCTCTCTGAAGTACCTAGATAACAGTAGTTGATGCACATTCCCTAAGTTGTTTTACAGATGTGAAAACCCCCCACCAAATGGAAGATGTTAAGTTCTTGATAACCAGGAATATATACATAGCCCCAGGCCTCCTGGAGCCTAAGGACTGATAATGTTAACCCCTGTGATACCACCCTGTTACTTCATCATCAGCCAATCAGAGAACTGTGCACAAGCTGATCACATACCCTTCGACCCACTCCCCCCTCACCTGACTTTTAAAAATGCTTTGCCAAAATCCTTCAGGGAACTAAGAGCTTTGTAGGGCTTGGGCCATACTCCCTGCAATAAACTTTCTCTGCTCCAAACTCCATTTTGGCTTGTTTGGCCTTGCTGTGCATTGGACACACACCAAGAGTGCCCCCTTGCACATGTGGTGGCCTGGATGTGCATGTACACTTAAGAAAAAAGTGTTAGTTGCTCAGTCATGTCTGACTCTTTGCCACCCCATGGCCTATAGCCCACCAGGCTCCTCTGTCCATGGAATTCTCCAGGCAAGAATACTGGAGTGGGTTGCCGTTCCCTTCGCCTGGGGATCTTCCCGACCCAGGGATTGAATCAGGGTCTCCTGCATTGCAGGCAGATTCTTTACTGATTGAGCCACCAGAGATAACAAAAAAGTGCCCCCCTCCAAAAAAAAAAAAAAAAGTGGGAGTGGAGTGCAGTGTTTAAGATCACAGATGCTTCCTAACCTGGGTTAGTTACCTTGTAGAGAGAACTCTAAACCTGTTTCCTCACCTATAAAATGGTGTGAATAATACCTACCTCTTAAGGTTCTTGTATTAAAAAAGAATTGAATTAGCCTCCAGTTTAAAAATAATTTAAAAAAAAAGAAAAAAGAAAAGAATTGAGGAAGGCAGTAAGCAAACTGCCTGGCACACAGTCAGTTCATCTATACATGTTAGCTTTGCTGATGGTGATGAGATAGGCTGACACCTGCAAAAGCTGTTCTTTGCATAAAAAGACTACGTGGCTCTCGGGGGAACCTGCTCCAACCCCCTGATCCAGGTGTACTCACCCCAGCCTTTGCACTTTGCTCCAGCTCCTCTCTGGGTCTGGAATGTACTGTCCTCTCCTCATATCTAAGGATTTGGCTCAGAGGACAGCTTCCTTGAGCAGCCCCACACCCATTCCCACCCACCCAGCCCAGCAAAACTATTCCTCCATTAAGAGACCACACGGCTCTGACGGCATTTCTCACATTGTATAATACTGCTTATGTACATGGTGGCCTCCAGTTAGAATGCTAACTTCTTGATTATCAGTTTTGGAATTCTCAGTGGCCAATGCAGTCCCAGATCTAACCTGCCCATAAGGGTGCTTAGTAGGTGTTTAGGGAAGGAATGAACAAAGAATGTACAAAGGAATGGCTTATCCCTGAGGGTACCAGCATAATTCACACCAAAACCTACCCACTGAGCTTCTCAAGTCTCAGACTCTTGCCAACACTTGTTTGAGAAGAATCACCACTCCTGGAGGATCCCTGGAGCCTAACAGGGTATTATTGCATTTTCAGCTGCTGAGTCCACGCCACCTCATGTGACCTGCTGGTCAGCTGGAGATGCCATAGGAACATGACTCATCGAGGTCAGAAGATAGTTTTAATACCCAAACTGCAGAATTCAGTAATAGATGAGTGCCCCAACTGCCAATCTAGGAAACTTACAAAATCAATTCGTGTGATGTAGTTTATCAATGATAATGACTTGGTGGGCTTGCATTCTCTTTAGCTCCTAGAAAGATCAGAGGAACAAAATGATAATTGTTTGCTCGGATTTTTGTCCAATAAAAAGATATTAAAGATCCTCACTCTTCTCTCTACACTAAGTCCCAATCCCAACTATTCATTGTGAGACAATGGGGCAAACTCAAGGGTACATACAGTCTGTGGTTTTGATATAGGACAAAGATTAGGTCTTTACAAGAATAAAGCCAATAACCTTAATCTTTTTAATTAATTAATTTTATGGTGCTGGGTCTTAAGTTTTGGCAAGCAAGATCTTTAGCTGTGGCATGTGGGATATATTTCTCTGACCAGGAGTCAAACCCTGGCCCCCTGCATTGAGAGCACAGTCTTAGCCACTGAATCACCAGGGAAGTCCCACCAATGACCTTAGTCTTGTTAGCACCTATCATATCCAGGTGAACTCAGAGGCCACAGTCAGAGCTTCAGGGCGGCCAGAGAGGCAATGTCAGGGGGTGGGGAGTGGGCCACATGGGAGGGGTAATGTAAGAAGTGAAGCTTAAGTCTCTAGTCCGACTTGAGTCACTTTAGGGATTCACCACTTACTAGTTATTGGAATATGCAAGTAGCGAAATCTATGAGCCTTGATTTTATCATCAACATAATGAGATAACCTAAATCAGAGGATGGAGGGAAGGGGATTAAATGTGATAACGAGAAGCATGGAGTCCTTTGCGCAGTGAGTGATGCCTCAATGGAAGGCAGTAGAAAAGCTACAGACATGTAAGCTGGAGTAACTCTGGTCCAGTAAGTTAGCAGAAATCAGAGAATATGTATGTCTGTGGGTTGAGCAGGGAGGGTGGCTCCTGGAGGATGAATGCTGGTCTCCAAAGACAAGGGCAAGGGGAGGGACTGAAGGGAGAGGTGGTATTAGAGGTGATGAAATCACCTGGCCCAAAGTCATTTAACCATTCCCACCTTCCTAGCATGCATCCTGCCTTGTTTAGGACCCTGCTCCGCTAGGATCCCCCAGGGAGCCTGGGAGAGTCACCCAGCTATGGTGTTATGGTTTTAAGATCTGGAGGAAATCTTGAACATCATCAAATCCCGCTGTGTCATTTCATCAGTGAAGGAACTGAGGCTCGGAGAAAGACGAATTTGCCCAAGGACATGGTTCTTAGCCCTGCCCCCGCCACTAGTGAGATGTGAAGCTACGGGCAAGTCACTTTCTCTCTGAGCTTAGTTTGCCCTTCTGTAAAATGGGGCTTTGCAGTATTTAGATTTCTAAGTTCCCTTCAGCTCCAATCTTTGCTGTATTAAAATAATGGTTCCCCTCTATCACTCTGAAATTTTAGACGTCAGATTACTCATGGCCCCCACCCCTGCCCCATCGAACACACTCACACATACATACCCCATCTCATACACAAGAGTCAAGCAAAAAACATGCTTGGATAACACTTGAACTCACTTAATTTTAACCCAGTGCTAGTTTTCGGCAGGGGTAAGGACAAGAAGAGATCAGGCACACGGAAGAAACTGCCAGGGGAGGCCGGGAGCTCCCAGGCGGCTGCCTGGTGTGGCCAGTCCCTGCAGGGCCCCTGGAGCTGGCAGCGCGACAGGATAAACCAGGCCAGCGATCGCACCTTACATGGCCGTCCCCAAGGCTGCCCGGAATCCCTGGGATTACGCAGACTTGTGGAAGATTTGGAGCAAGTGCACAATCACCTGCCGCCCCCACAAGTGTGCCTGGGCTTCTGCAACCTCCGTCTTGTGACCGAGGAATTTTTAAATGGAAGCTCTGAGCTCACGGAGAAGAAAATGTCTCCCTGATGTCACACAGTTGCTGCCAATTCATCAACGCAAGCTAAAGGTCAGAGAGGGGGAAGCCACGGCTCCAGGGTCCCTCGGCTGCTCCCTCGGACGGGGCTTCCCTTCCAGCAGGCTTCCCGCCAGCCACCCGGGGCCAGCCCCGGGGAAGCCAAGCCGAGGGCTGTTTGCATTTCCAGGGCACGCACAGAGGCAGTGCTAACCCCACTCGCTGCTTCTGCACTGCTCAGACATTAACCACTTCGTCCTCCCAGCCTTCTCCTGCCACCAGGCTTCTCTGTAGACAGTTTACCTGGTAACCTCAATACAATGCTGTCCCGAGGGTCTTTCCCTGGGATTACTGCAGGGGTAAAACCAAATTGCACAGAGGTTCTTTTGGTATTTCAGCAACTAAATTCAGTGGTCAAAGAGCAAAGACTAGAAGTCCCACGGTGACAAACTTGGTTCCACTGCTTCTTGGCTGTGTGATATTTGCAAGTTATTTAACCTCCTGGAGCCAACTTCCTGACCTGGAAGATGAGGATTGTAAGAATAATTACCTCGTGGTATTTGAGGATTCAGTATGAAGCATGGTTACAGACCCTGGAGTATAGTGAGTGCTCAATAAATGTCAGCTTGGAACCAACACTCACAGCTTTAACTGGACACATTACTTAATTTCCTCATTTGTCCAATGGGGATAGGCTGATGTGTGATTGACAGGGTTGCTGTGAGGATTCAGTGAGAACGAATAGAAAGCAATTAACACAGCACCTAGCACTGGACAAATAAACGGTGACTGCTGGGACTATTGTCTCCATCAATCAAACTGTGATCTATAGGGAAGGTTCAGCCTATTCATTAATACAACACCTTCTCGGAGCCTGACACAGTCCTTGCTTCCCAACAACTCACACTCCAGGGTTAAAAGATGAGACATATGAAAAACATGTATGTGATCAAAACATGGACAAAACATTTTTATGAGTTTTTCCCTCTTTGGAAGACCATTTTTAATTCCAGCCAAAGTTTCAAAAATAATAATAATGATAATTCTGGCCAAAGTTTGTAGGGAGGGAGAAGAGAGAGACGAAAAGGAAAAGTTACCATGGGTTAGAGAGAAGGATTAACTGGGTGATGGCAAGGAGACAGCCGACAGAAAATGAAGTGACGCAGGAGGAGGAGGCTGAAATAACGGAGTAATAGGAAGCAGTGGATTTCTCTAGAGTTGGGAGGGACCACAGGCTAGCTGTCTACTTCAACTGTAAGGAACAGATCTGGAAAGACAATGGTAACCCCTGCCATGGCCTGCTCGGCGAGGCTCACTGTCCCCCCCCAAATCCCGGTGCTCTCGTGGGTCTCCTTCTGGGGTACCCTCAGTGCCCCCCAGGCTCCTGCATCAGTGATTGACTGAAGGCTTTCCCCTAGACCAGTCGGCTGTTGACCCTGCCTCTCCCTCTGCCTTGGCAGCCTGAATCCTCACCTCTCCTGACACAGGGAAGTTCTAGAAGAACTGTAATAATAAAGGCAAACATGGGCTTTGCTTCTGGGCTCCTCTCTCAATGTCCCAAACAGGTGCACTCAAACAGGAAACACCTCCTTCCCCGCTTTTACCCCTCCTCAGCCTCTTCCCACCAGTTTTTCCTTTTTCCCTTAAGACAGATGTGTTCAAGGCTCTTGGTTTTCTCTCTCCATGGGACATTAATATTTAGATGACAATATCTGGAGATCCAACATAAATATATCCTGTCAACATTTTTTTTCCTTTATTTTGTAACAAAGCTTTATTCCTTTTTTTTAAAAAAAATATATTTTTTTGACTGTGCTTGCTGGGGGTTCTTTGCTGCCTGCGAACTTTCTCTAGTTGTAGCAAGCAGGGACTACCCTCTTGTTGCAGACCCTGGGCTCTAGGGCACACGAACTTCCGTAGCTGTGGCTCGGGGGCTTAGTTGCTCGGCAGTATGTGGGATCTTTCTGGATTAGGGGTGGAACTCATGTCCCCTGCACAGGTGGATTTGTAACCACTGGACCTCCAGGGAAGTCCGTGTAAACACTTCTTGGATCCGTAATCGATTACCAGGCACTGGGAGTTCCCTGGCAGACCAGTGGTTAGGACTCGGTACACTTCCACCACAGGGTCACGGTTCGATCCCTGGTCCGGGAAATGAGATCCTGCGTGCTATGCAGCACAACCCACCCCCTCCCACACACACAAAAATTACCAGGCACTATTCTAGGTTCTTCTGCTTCACAACTACCTCATTACTGTGGGTTGAGGCAACAGCTTTCCAGAAGCTTCTGATGAGAAACCTGGAAGAATCACAGTGCATGAGCCTCCCCACCCTCCTGTCTTTCACATCCAGGCAATGACCAAGTGCTGTGAGGTCATGTGTCTCCCGTATCCAGCGGGCACATCACCTCAGGCCTTCCTTGTCTATCACCCTATCTGTTCACGGATGCCCCTGCCTCCAGCCTTCCCTTCTATTCTGCACGGCCTCCCCTCACCTTCCTCAGAAGCCCTCCTCGTCACCTTAACCCCCCTCAGCTCCAAACCCTCTGGTGATATCCCCCCAAATTTCATTCCAGGGCTTCCTAACCCTGCCTCCGCTCTCTGGAGTGGAGAGAGACCCAGAGCCCTGCCTTACCCATGACAGGGGTTTCAGGGAGGGACAGAGAAGGGTGATGTCAGGGTACCAGTCTAACCAGAGGGGCTGTGTACACAGGAGGGCTGGTGCAATGTGGCTGGGCGAAAATCTGAATCATAGTCAATGAGGGCAGCCAAATTCCTATCTGGGAAATCAGAGCAGCCTGAAGGGTGAGGCCATGCTGTAAACAGAATGACTAATGAGGTCAGAAGCTGGTGGGGACCAGAGTCATGTCTAGATGCAGTTCAAGGAAACGGAAACGGCAGGGCACTGAAACTGTGAAGTGAATTATAAGAAGATACTGGAGACCTGCTGCGTTGTGCTACGCGGGGATGGGAGGGGTGGGGCAGCCCTTGAACTCTCCCTTCCTTCTGGCTTTGCTCTTTGACTTTTCATGTGTGGAAGGCCCTGTCTTCCCTGCTGTCGGGTCTCACACCCTTCACATGCCCCCAGCACTGCCAAAGGACTTGTCCTAGGTTGCAAGCTGATGGTTGTAAAAAAAAAAAAATTCCCACCTAATAGGGGATGTGCTCCAGAGGCAAGCGTCAACTCCTGCTCAACGTCTCTGTGTGTTGGATTTCTCATTTGTAAAGTAAGGATAATAATAACACTTTATAATAGCGTTATATAATAATAACACTACTATGAGGATTAGCCGAGCAAATGTTTATAAAACGCTTACAACAGTGCTTGGCACATAGTAAATGCTGTAGAAGTGTTCGTTAAATAAAAATAAGGTGCCCAGATGGTAAATAAGACCAGTACTCAAAGTCAGTTCTAATTTTAACATTCAAGCCCTTAGATCCTCCACCACTAAGGTCAACAGCAGGTTACGATGGACTAAGCTGACTACAGGACTTTCGAAAATTAATTCTCATTTCAACTAACAATAGAAAAACACGCTGCTGGCTATTGCACTTGGGCACAAAGGAAATATCTCTTGAGTGACTACCCTTACCTGTTCTTAGGAAACCACTAAGAAATCCAGAAGGACCAGTTCAAGTAATAGCACCCATCCCCAATTTAATACACCTTGCAAAAATAAAAAAAAAGGTTAGACTTAAAAAATGACTGTGGACATCAGAAAGGAACAGCATGGATTAGGGAAGCTCAGTCACGGCTGCAGCTCATGTTGGAGAGGTAGCTGAGAGCAGATAATGCAAAGAAAAGGAAATAGTTTATATTTCTTTTTTTATAAAATAGCTGAGGGCAGGCTGTTTGGAAAGGAGAGGGAAAATGTGAGTGTATGGTTTGTAAAATGATATTTTTAAGGTGCATTCAGTGTAGTTATAGTTGAGGTGAAGTGAAATCTCTCAGTTGTGTCCAACTCTTTGCGACCCCATGGACTGTATACAGTCAATGGAATTCTCCAGGCCAGAATACTGGAGTCAGTGGCTTCTCCTTTCTCCCTCTCCCAACCCAAAGCCGCATTCAAAGAAGAGTGCAAAAGTCCACTCCAGCCATCTATCAACCAGAACTCTTTATTAACTGAGCCTCACAGGCGACTACAGTATTGGCGCTAACAGATGTTTGAAAATGATGACCCCAATAGACTGAAAAATCCCAAACAGCTTTCTGAAACAAGGGGAAAAAAGATTAAATGAAGCTTGGTATGGTTTGTGACCAGCACATTTTATCGTATTCTAATTTTTCCAAAACAAGCAATATATTTGTCATCTGTGTATGCGGTGATTTATATGCCATCTAATAACTTTCTACCCATCATCCTGTTAGAACAATACATTGCCTGTTAATGGTATCGGGGTTTAAGAAGCATTCCTTTCTCTCAACGCACTTTCTTTCTGTGTTCCCACCCCCTACCCTTTATGCCTGTCTCTACCACAGCAGGATTTTGTTTTCGGTTCAGACTTGACCCAATGGTCATCTACTATTTTTACTCTTCCCTAAAAAAATGAAGGGTGTCTCTGGCCTGAGGAACCACTTACCCTCACTTGAATAACTTTCATACTCAGGGTGGAGGTTCTGAGGTGGGTGCTCTCTCATAACAGACAAGAAAGGACAGCGCCTGGGTGGAATTTTTAAAAATAGACTCCTCTCTTGGGAGGTAGGGTCTTCGGAGAGCGGGGCCACAACAGCTGAGTGGTGTGGGACACGTGGCTTGATGCAAACAGAAACAGTCCTGGCGGGACTGCCCCGGGGACTCCCCGACAGAGAACTCACAAGGTGCCCGCAGGTCCCCAGATTCCCTCACCTGCTTTTTCTAATTACCATCCTATTCCTTTCGCTCCCCTTCTCGGCCCGCAGCTCAAGGCTCTGCATACCACAGGGGTCAGACACAAATAAAATCCATACATGGTCTCCATCCTGGGGTCACAGAATCTGGTTAACAGCTCAGACTGAAGATGGCCCCGGCTCCCA